AGAACTGGTCACCAGTAAATATTATAGTTAATCAGGAACCATCAATGTAAATAATAGATTTACTGCGGAAAGGCGGGACCGCACGAAAAGTGGCAAACAATTGTGGAATTTGCTACTTGAAAATCTCAAGACTGAGAAAAAATATAACCTAAAGTGTTCTCAAGGACAAAGGAAGTCTGTAAAAAAATATTACGGTACGATATCTTGTGAACTTAGCAACAAGTAGCGATGCAGCCGCTATTACAGAAGCGCTTAAGGTATTAAAATTGAATGCAAATCAGTAGACAGCGAGGCGAAGAATTGTCAAATTGAACGCTAAGGCATAATAAAAGAAAAAAAACCATTTTGATCAAAATACATGTGCGACAGTTACAGCATTTTGCTACATCGCACGAAAACCGAACCGTTGCCTCTTGGGATATGCTAGGCCGTTCAGAATGCAATAAAAAACATATTTTTAAATTTCAATTCAAAGTTATTTGGTCTCACAATACTAAATTAATCGCTTTCAATCAGATGGCCGGGCATGGTATTGGGTCAAAGACCCAAATTAAGCCCATGCACAGCATGTAAGGCAAACTGTGAATAACAGTGGTCGGTCAATAATAGTTTGGGGTTGTATTTCAAAAATTTTCTTGGTCTGTTAGTACACATTATGCGTAAGGAACAGTATCTGTTCATATTTCAACAAAATTTGCAAGATGTAGTCGAAAAATGAGAGTTTCTGCTGAAAAATCACACAAAACATACTACATATGTTCGCAAAGACAGGATGCAAAAGCAAAAATTTGCTATTTTGAAATGACCTCCACAATCCGCGGATATGAATCTCATTGAGAATTTGCGAAAACAACTACATGAGTACATGAGCTGTGAAAGCAAACTAAGGATATACCTCCAGAAACAAGCAAAAGAGTACTGAACATTGTATTAGGAGTTCTTTTTTTTCGTGAAAATTGTTAAAAAGCTCTTAAAAATATATGAGTGCAAAACTGTAACATCTGCCTTAATTTACATTTTTGTCTGCTGGTTTTTTTATTGTTGTTGTATTGACTTCAAATCGTTATGAGAGAGGGAGTAGGGATGTACCAACAAGAATATACAACAAAAGTATGAAAGTCGTTAGAACTTGGAAAGATAGCGATGGCTGAAGTAAAAAGTGTTACACCATGTTACAGTTTTGCTCGTCACTGTACATATGTATAAAAAAGCAACTCACACGAAAAGTGTGTTAACCCAATAGGAAATCCTACAAGAACTCGCGACTTGCGAAAGTCTGAGTACATTCAAATTGTACCCAGTATCGAACACAAAATCACCCAATAGCGTACATCGAGGGACTTAACATCGAAGAATTTGTTCCTGGAAAGTTTGCATCACCGCAAAATATTTCGTATATAGAAAACACGGGGTAACCTAACTTAAAATACGCAAGTACTTGAGCATACAACAAGGGGGCAATATCACTAGCACCAACAAACACGGGGATATAGAAACCATACAATACATAAGTATTGCCAAAAATCGTGAGTTATTTCTACATAAATGTGTAAAGCATATGAATATGTGGTTTCATATACGTAGCGGTAATTGTGAATACCTCATACGTTAAAAAATATACACAGTGTATATATGTAAATACGTACCTATGTAAACTCCAATTACTGTGCCTACTTTGCATATACTCTCAATTCCTCTCTCCCTAGTTTTGCTTTGATTATTTCGCGTGTACATATGTATGTATTACTAGTCCCCTTTCAGACACGTCAAGTCTTGCTTTCAAGTCTGCTCGTTCGTAGGCGAAGGGAAGAGAGGGGAAGAGTACAGATACCTCCGTGCAGTCAATTCGTTTCAAGTTTTCTTGTCTCTTTTGATCCTTTCGTTGCTTCCCATTTAAAGAACCAAGGACTTAATTCAATTAAAGTTGACGCGTGTGGAAGCAAATAGAAAACACAAAAGAGAATGCGAAAAAAAATTGCTTTCATGACTTGAGGTGTATGAAAGGGGACCTACTTTCTTGCTCCCTACTCCGTTTGCAGTAACGAAGAATAATAAATAGGTTTCTTACTAAACAGTTTCCAATAAGAACGCATCACCGTATTTAAATATACACATACATACATATGTATGTATGTGTACTATCAAATTCGATACCCTGTAGGAAAAAGGATTTAGTTGAAACTAAACAAAAATTTCCTACGCTGGTATTGTACTTGCGGTTACAATTTACATAACAAATAAAATCTTCGAACTGGTTTTTCTTCCACAGTTTAAAATAGTCATAAAATATCGAAATTTAGAAAAAACAAAACTACACTAAAGGCAAATTTAGCCTTTTAAAATACCCAAAGGACCCAACGAGACCTCTGCTCCGTTCCGTAAAAGCCATGTCAGATTCCATAATGGCAAATAAATCATCACTTTTCTCGAAGTTTACCTTCAATTCCAATTACCTCCTAAATTTTTGTACTCATTTTGAAAAAGCTAAACCGAAAGATCATACATGTACTTTACTTGAAGTAAAGTTACAAGATCTCCAATCTCGTTGGGAAATGCCGAAACGTTCATACGAAAATCTATATGCCGATGAGAATTATATTTCTTCACAAATGAAAAAAGAAGCACACATCCAATTCCAGCTCTGTGACAATAGTTTCGAACTTTGCAAATCAAAAATTCTTCATCAGCAAATATCTCAAGCTTACTCAAGCAACCTTTGCAATATAGCGACCAAGAATGTTTCAGAAAGAACACGACCGCTAAATCTATCACATTCTCAGGAAACCCCTTTTTGAAATGCATTTTATGCATTCGTAATCATCCTTTAAAATTGTGTCCTATATTTCGGAGTTTAAATGTTCAAGAACGCACTAAGTTCGTTGAACAAAGCAGCTATTGCACCAATTGCTTGGCACGCAATCATGTACATACACATTATCAAAGTGGTCGCCAATGCTTTCATTGCACGGAATCACATCTTACAATGTTGCATCCCGAATCGACTATCAAGCCAACACCTAAGGCAAAAGTTAGTGAAGAAAAATGAATCTTCTTTATTGCTTATCCAACCCACTGAACCTCTATCAACTCACTCCAAATATCAAAACTTTAAAATACAAACAAATTTCTCACACACCGAGAAAGAGCAACAAATGAATACCCAACCGCACATCGAGCTAACAGAGCAGCTCTTTATTCCAAAACTAATTCACCTAACCAGTCGAAATATCATTCGCATCGATACACACATTGGGCTCTCTACCCAGGCTTCACGCCAAGAAACAAAACACTCTAAAAGTTAAAGATTCAGACGCCGCTGATCTAAAATTTAACTTATCCTATCAAATCTCCAAAATACCTACAGCTCCATGCCAAGGAGTTAAATCCAAAATCCTCAAAGATCCCCTCGCACAAAATACCACACACCGATGGTATTGGAGTGGGACATTAAAAATTACCAAACCAAATGCGCTAAAGTGGCAAATTCCGCCTTTACTTCCGCCACTTTTGAGCCCCCCAGGGTCGCTATCGCCCATTCTTACACAAACTGAACAACAATTCAAGCAAGAAATGCCAAAACCACTCGACCATCAAAAGTGGAGAGAAAGCTCTTTCAAACCAATCCCAGTCTATAAAGGGACTGCATTTACCACAGATCAGAATGTCATATTTACCTACATAAATTGGCTTCTGAAACCTCCTGACATTTCGTCATCAATATTTCGCCAATCCAACATTTCTTTATATAAACACAAATTCGAAGCTCGTGTTACTTTGAAAGATTTTCGTGAAATCGTATCTCTTTTTGCATCTTGGACGAAAGCCTTGCGAGTTATTTCCCATAAGTTCAATAAATCGAATTAATTACAGTCCCCTTCATGTATCAACCACAAAAATCTGAAATCAGTCAACCATAAACATCTATGTGGAGTTCCAAGGTGTTTTATGAAACTCGCCCAGGGAGAAAAAATATCAATCCCACTGGGTTTTCACTATGCAAATAAACTCTACAATAAATTTAATTCAAAAGTGGAAAACTTTAAAACTAGCACATTTTTACTGCCAGAAAAATCTAATTTCTCTTTGTCATTCATCTACACCAGCAGCAACTTTGCAAGTCCCGGCGTTCGTAAATCAGCAACCCTTCAAACACCATTGCTACTTAAAAATTTCCAACATTTTCTCATAGCAAATTATATTTCCAGATCACTTTCACTTCATTGCCAAACGAAGCGTAATTGGTAGCACACACCACAGCGTTTATGTGAGATTATTGACAACATCAATGAACGTATCCTGCGCACACTACGTTACCATCTTTACCAAGCAATTGCATCAAATTTCTCATTTCTCAAAGACAGGAAAAATATGAGCGACGGTACATTCTCCTCTACAATCAATCGTCCGTCACTTTCATCGCGAAGCCACCACCGAAATCCAGAAATTCTTTGCATGGTGCGTCATCGATTCCAAATATCATTACCTTCACACACGATCATTTCAAAGAAGAATACCAAAGCACATATCCAACTCAAAGCGAAGAGAAAGATTGGCGGCGGTGCGTTTTCCCCTACAACCCAACGTCCTTCAACCACTCCCGAAGGCTTTGGTACAGCTGAAGAAAATTCTTGCACAAGTGCAAAGGGGCCGGCATGTTCAAGTGACTTGCGCCCACTTAAAGGATGCATCCCTGCGCTTGTACCGAATTAAAGCACCCCTGCTTGAATATTCCAGACACTGGCTACAGTTAGCTTCCAGTGTAACCTATAAAAGGCCATTGCAACCTTGCCATGGCCTCTTTTGCGATCGACACCTACAGAAGACAGCAGGGATCGTTTTACCGAACCAGCAACTATAATACCTCATCATCAACAAAAAGTCCTCTACAACACCGTTGGAGGTCGATAGCTACCTACTTGTTTTCATCTAATATTATCTACGCGGGAGTTCAACAACATCGTGGATATTCACCGGCATTTACTCACTAAGTATCATTCAGCCATTCATACATATATTTCTATCATTGCTTTTCTCATTGTATCATTCCCTTTGCGCGAGTTCCCCCTGAACTCAACCAATCCCATTTAACTTGCTCATATGTACGATATTTGTACATACATTAAAGTTGCATAAGTTTACATTCATCTAGAATCTACATACAGTCCACTGAAAGTCTTTTGTTAAAACTATTAACTAGTTATAAGGAAATTTCGTAAATGAATTACAACTTGAATTAAACCATTACTTTCAAAATCTTAATCGCAATTTCGTCAATTCTTAACACAGGCAAAGCACCAAATTTATAACAAATGGCTAAGGTTCTTCTAACTGCTGCTGATAAGTATGCGCCCGAAAAACTGAAAGTGAAATGCCAACAGGCTATGTGTAGTAACCTCTCCGTAGAAAACGCATTGGAAACTTTAGTATTCGCCGACCTACATAGTGCGCATCAATTGAAAGCACAAGCCATAGATTTCATAAATAGTCATACCACTGATGTGCTGGCAACTTCCCGCTGGCAGAGTATCACCCCTATTGCGAGTGTCGACTGGCAGTAGATAAACGACTATTAAGCGATTATCGATTATCGATGCTATTGTGAGTGTCGCTTAGTCGCTCAATGAGCGACTGTGAATAGTTTTTAATCGCTTATCCTTCTACTGCTATTTTTGAGTCGATAGAGTTTGCGTGAGCAAAATTTTCGTGATATAAATAAATAAATAATGGATAAAAAGTAAGTTATTTGCATCAAAAGCTGTACAAAAATTTACTATACATATGTGTGTCAATTGTAGATCAAAAGTGGTTAGCAATAAGAAGCAACTTGGGCGGCTGGCCCAGCTGATGCAGGACAATCAGGACTTGGCGAAAGGAATTTGCGGCAAGACTCGGGGAAAGCCCAAATGGGAAGCCATAGCCGTAGATCTGAACAGCTTGGGACCACCACTACGTTCATGGGAAAAGTGGTTAAAGGTGAAATAAATACATATTAAGCTTTAATTAATAAAATAATCGGGTATATTTTGATGTAGGTTTGGACAGATTTGAAGAGCAAGACGAAAAAGAAAATTTCGGAAAACAGGGCAGAATTTCGTGCAACTGGTGGGGGCCCAAACAGTCTGCACATTCTCACGCCACTGGAGGAAGGGGTGGCAAGTTTTTTAAGGTACGATATTTGTTCGGACCCACCAGGTCAAGAAATCGGACACAATGCAATTGTTCAATCGGAGGAAATCCCAGAGGAGCAGGTAGCTTGTGGTAGTGATTACATCACAATATCTGGGGAAGATTGTGAAATGCGTGAAACCCAGGAGACCGAAATTTCTGAAGTGCATCGTACTCCAAGAAGAAGAAAAGTTGCCAATTCTACTGCAAATGATAGGAGAATTGCATTACTAGAAACGCAAGTAAACAACCAAGCGAAGCATTTTGAGGCAATGGAAGAAAGTGCAAATAAT